CCCATTCTGTCAGTGGATGTCAAGAAGTGCCTCCCAACACATAAAAAATATAAAGTAACTATAATTATTTGTGAAAAAAAAACAAACACATTTTGGGAGGGATGGAGGCAGGAATGATTAGGAATTTAAACAATAATATAGTAACACTAAAAAATGATTAGAAACTCTAAAATTGTAATAAGTTCTAGAGAAATGAGATCTCATATGTTTAGCTTGCTCTGTATAATACCTAGAATGGATAACATATTTATTTTTAAGAGAAACTTAAGGCCACTATTGAAAAACAATGGTGAATTCTGCAGCAGTGTCCTGCTGTCCTTGCCAGAGGCCTTCATATGGAATAAAAAAATTTAACATTTATTGAACAACTACTGTGTGTTAGAAATGCACACTTCTCACTTAATTAAACTTTTGTAATGACTATGATAACCCAATGAGATGGGCAATATTCTCCCATGTACAGATGAAGAAATTGAGACCTGGAGAACACAGGTAACTTACCAAGCCTCAGATGGCTCACAGGTGTCAGACCTGGTATTCAAACCTGTGGAGGGCAGCTACAGTGTTTGGACAGGTTCAAGCCTCCGACTGAGGAGAGGGCACAGTCCTTTCATGGCCACTTGTAGGTTCCAGCTTGGAGAGCAGGGCCCTTCCAGCATAATTATAGCCAACAGCTGTAGTTGTAAGCTTGAACCTATGGTCCGAACACTTGGCCCCATGTGCCTGAGTGATGTGGGATTGATAGAGTTCAGGTGCATGTAATTGAGGTTGAAACTTATGCGAATGTTGTAAACATCTTTTTTATATATATATTTTTTATTGATTTTTTTACAGAGAGGAAGGGAGAGAGTTAGAAACATCAATGAGAGAGAAACATTGATCAGCTGCCTGCTGAACACCCCCACTGGGGATGTGCCTGCAACCAAGGTATGTGCCCTTGACCGGAATCGAACCTGGGACCTTTTAGTCCGCAGGCCGACGTTCTTTCCACTGAGCCAAACCGGTTTCGGCTATTGTAAACATCTTGAGCACGCCCTTACTTTGCCTCGTGGAATCTGGCTATAAAATAAAGCCATGGCTTGTAGCTAGCTCTTCATCAGAGGCTCTCCACCAGAGAGAACAGCGTCCCACTCAGGCCTAGCTTTCATTCTCTTGTCTGTCTTTTCTCAATCCTTCACCACCCTCTCTCAGGGTCACAGAGCCTGGCTAAGCTGGCACTGCACAAAAAGCGCCCAACATGGGCTGAGTATGCCATGGCAGTGCCAGCTCCCCAATCTAACCTAAGTCTGACACCAGATGCTGGCCCTTCACCATTCTTCTGTTGCTTCCATCATTTGCCCTGTCTTCTAACCCTCTCCTTTAGACTTCTGCAAGGTCTTTGAGACCCAGTAACTCAAAAGTGGTTGTCAGTTCTAATATTTTGTGTGTACATTTTAAAGCAGCATTTAAACATTTTTTTTCTTTTGAACGTAACCAATCTTGGCCCTAACTACTAAAATTACTTTTATCTTCTAAAATTGTAATAAAACCTACCAACATAACAAGTCATCAAGGAAAGTTACTAACACAGTATTTTATTGGTAGCAGACTTCAAATTGCCCCTTCTGTTCACAGGCAGGCCCTTTTCTCATCCTCTTCTTGGCCTTCATAGCTCCTCCTCCAAACCAATGAAGTGCCACTGTGAGAAAATGACTGCCCAGAGCATTTCTGAGAGGCTTTAGGGGTTGATGAGTAACAACAGCATGAGGGGTGGGCATGATGGTTCTTGGCAGTGAGGTCATTTTTATTTATTTTTTAATATATATATTTTATTGATTTTTACAGAGAGGAAGGAAGAGGGATAGAGAGCTAGAAACGTCGATGAGAAACATAGACCAGCTGCCTCTTGCACAACCCCTACTGGGGATGTGCCCGCAGCCAAGGTACATGCCCTTGACCGGAATCGAACCCTGGACCTTTCAGTCCACAGGCCGACGCGCTATCCACTGAGAGAAACCGGTTTCAGCAGTGAGGTCATTTTTTAAGTTGTTTTTTTCCCCTGGCCGGTGTGACTCAGTGGTTGAGCATCAACCTATGAACCAGGTGGTCACGGTTCGATTCTCAGTCAGGGCACATGTCTGGGTTGTGGGTTGTGGGTTGTGCAGGAGGCAGTGGATCAATGGTTCTCTCATCATTGATGTTTTTATCTCTCTCTCCTTCTTCCTTCCTCTCTCTGAAATAAAAACATATTTTTAAAAAAATCCTTGTGGAGGAAAAAATATAAAATGTTGCTTTATAATGTTCTATACACAATATAGATGAAGGCCAATAATCAAATACTTTTCATAATTTTTTTAAATGCAAAAGGTAGAATTTATTGGTGACTTTTAAATTTCTCTTAATATACAATTTATTTTAAATGCTTTAATATAAACTTTGTGTTCACATTTAATTGAACTTTAATCTCATCCTGGGAATAGGCCAGATAGCATTTGAAGAACCCCAATCTGGTGGTTATGTGGGTGCTTTGATACGGTCACCTAAATCTACACCAGTGTTAATAAGCATAAGGGATGTCAGTAATTTTTCCTTAATGAGAGGAAGTTGAAAGGTAAGACGTTGCCTAGACTTTTAGAGACAAAAAATGCATGAAATGGGGTATAAGAATATGGCAGATTCTGCAAGCTCATGACTTTTGATTAGTTCCTCGAGTCTAGAGCTGTTTGCCCCTCTGCCACCTTCCCCTGAACCCCACATATTTAAGACTGTTGCTGATCCATTTAGGTTTCCCATTCGAGCCTCCAGAATACACTGCTTCTGCTTCACTGTAAATCCTTCAGTCAAGGTGACTGTGTGATTACGGTCATAGAATCTTTGCCAAGCTTTGTGGCCTTGCTTGCTAATATTTGTTCATGTGAAAGAACTGTTTTTTGCTTTTATTGTAGTATACCACCAGGTTATGCAAGGGACATATAGCCTTACCATCCAGTAAAATCTGGCAATTAATCTATCAAATGAATCTGTAATCAGTAATTAAACAAGCCTATAATAGATAGTCTGCAATGAGGTGGAGGAGAATTAAAAGTCCATCCACCCTCATTCCATGGAGAGGGCCATATTTGATCCTGAGCACTGCCCTTAATGTAGAGCCTTCTGCAGACTTCTGTGAGAACTCTTAACTAACCTTCAGGAGCTGGACAGAAAGCAATTCAGCCATTCAGGTCAAGGTCATCCTTTGGCAGTGTCATTCTTAAGACAGAGTTAACAACTTTATACCACTTCTAATTATAACTTGATTACTCACAAAGCTTTCAGTTTACTAATGATTGCTCAACTTTAAAAATATAAATAAAAAAAGCCAAAATAGAAAATTGCTCTATTTTAAATAAATCTATTCTATACACCTGTTCAGAAGAAGCTGAGAAAAAATGTCATTGAGGACAAATAAAAGGGCAATTTGAAAACTCAAGAATCAACCTGAGTAAAATTATGAGAAACCTAAAAGTAAAACTATGTCAAACACATTTGGTGTTTCATGCTGGGTAGATTTAAACAAATAAAAACACTTTATTAAATAGATCTTTTTAATATAATTATGTATACATGGACAACTGGGTATAGGGAAAAACCCCAAATTAACATTTTAACAAATTACAGCTACTGTATTACTAAAGATGATATGCTTGGATTTTAAGGAAATAGTCCAACAAATGAATAGTCTCTCATTCAATCTAATAGATTAACCAATCTCTCTTTTAATAAAAACCAATACACTACAGTGGTAGAAGTTTACTTTTTTTTTTATACACTCCACATAAAAACATGTTTTCACTCTCCTTCAATATTTAGTTATTCGTAGCCTCTCAAATGGTAAAATAAAATGAAATTCATATTAGTAAAAGAAAGTGCAAGTTTGTACAGCTAAGCTCAGCAGCAAAAGTGAAGAATGAAAAGTGAAAGCTGATGGATGCCACGCAGAAGGACATTCATAACGGTGTCCTGCAGTGTCCTGTGTGCCAAACACAGTCAACATTCCATCATTTTTCATTGCTCTTAAACGAGCAAAACCAAATTCTTTTTTTATTTAAAGAAATAGTAAGTCTTTACTCCCCTCCCCCCAACATAATTTGACATCAGGTAAGGCAAAGACAAGTCCCACCATCACTGGGACAGCAGCAATACACAGACTTTGGAAATAACCCTGAATCATCAGTAACATTCTCTCATGGTAACATAAGGAATGAATCTAATAAATCAAATCTGCACTGTTGTCAGATTACTCTAATTTATTTGATTAGTTTTTCTGGAAAAACTTTATAAATACATTATTTAAGAGGACAGTAAATTATTTCCTTGCTCTGAAAAAATAATGTATATTTTTTTCCCCCTTCACATTTAAAAAATGTTTAGTATGCCTTTGGAAAAAGAGATGCAAGAATGTGACTGCTGTGTTTGCAGAATGTCCACGTACAAGTTGCATTTACAAGAACCCCGTAATCTGCCTATAATTTGCCTCTACAAATAGAGCTCTTTGCACTATTATTTAAACAAACAGGCTTGATTTAAACACCTCTCCTACTCCCTCTACTTGTAGAGCAAAGAGGTACTTGTTTTTCAAGTATTGTATTGTAAAAGGTAAATTTTTTGTGCCAATTTTACCTGCTAGCTTTTAAACTTCAAAGTATCTATGTGAAAAGTCATGCCCAGTCAGCCCATTTCTTTTACAGAGGATGAATAAAAAAACAACAACAACCCTTGATTTGCTAAAAGGAGCTCACGGAAAAAAGCCATTTAAAGTACGGAAGAACAAGGAGCATTTCTTTTTTTCTATTGGCGAAAATTATTAGAAAAGCTATCCAGTCTGTTGTCTTTAGCTGGTTTTAATAAAGTCTTTGCAAAATGATGGTCAGAAATCTTTAGAAAACTGGAGGATGGGGGATGCTCCTTTACAGCACGGAAGGAATTTCTTTAATTGTAGAAATTCTTACTAAGTTTCAGCTTTGGTTCTTCAGAAGAAATGCTCATATAACTTCTATATTAGGAGACAGAAAAAAAAAAAAAAAGAACCGGTTAATATACTTATTTAAAATCTTATTTAAAGAATACTCTGGTAATTATATCTTACATTTCTAAAACTTTACCATGCTCTAAGAATAGGCAATTTCATCAGGATCCATAATCACATATTTTAAATGAGTTCTACCACCATTAGGAAAGCACATGTCCTTTACTTCAAGTTAGGCTTTCTCTGAGGTTAAGGACTTACATCTGTTTTTGTATCTTTGGTACCTGATGCTTCCATCTACAAACATATGTTGGAGATTAAATAAATGTCTGTCAATAAATAGTCATGACCCCAAAAGAAACCTTACATCACTTAAACTCACAGACATTGGATTACTTTCTTAGGGAAGGTCTAGAAGGGTGGGCACAGTGAGAACCAAGCGACAGATAAATCAAAAGGTGATGATTTAAGGCCTGGCAAGTGAAGCAGAGAGTCATCTTAGGTGTTCCTGCTTTCTCTGTGAAGCTGCACCAGCAGTGTTTCTACCAACATGCAAGTAACCAGACTGTTACCAGAGGCTTAACAATCAGAAAGTCAAACCTGGGATGGACCTTACAGCTTCCTTTTACAGTCTAGAAAAGTGGATCACTAAAGTGAAGTTATACTCCGAAGCAATAGAGAAGCAAAAAAAGACTTAGTTGGATAGGTGGTTCAATACTGGCTTTTTCAATAATTTAAAGTGGAAAGTATTTGTTATAAGTTCACCGATGGAATGTAAAAGAAAAAGAATTTGCCGAAACCGGTTTGGCTCAATGGATAGAGTGTCAGCTTGGGAACTGAAAGGTCCTGGGTTCGATTCTGGTCAAGAGCATGTACCTTGGTTGCGGGCATAACCCCAGTAGGGGGTGTGCAAGAGGCAGCTGATCGATGACTCTCATCGATGTTTCTAACTCTATCTCTCTCCCTTTCTCTCTGTACAAAATTAATTTTATATATATATATATATATATATATATATATATATATATATATATATAAAGAATTTGACACAGATAATTCCTTCATGACTCCATATATATATATATATATATATATATATATATATATATATATATAGAATTTGACACAGATAATTCCTTCATGACTCCATCTAAACATGTTGAATTTGGCCAGCTCAGTTATTAATAGTATAATAAAGAGATGCTGGTCAATACATCAAAGTGATCTGCTGGGAAGAGAGGTTGATAGAATAAGAGATTTGATAAAAGATGGAGCTGGATTTATCCTATTTGTCTTTAAGATTTATGGGACCATGCTGTTGAGTTGCTATGACCAAGTTGGAAACATTTTTTAAAAAATATATATATTTTATTGATTTTTTTTACAGAGAGGAAGGGAGAGGGATAGAGAGCTAGAAATATCCCCTACCAGGGATGTGCCAGCAACCAAGGTACATGCCCTTGACCAGAATCGAACCTGGGACCTTTCAGTCCGCAGGCCAAGGTTCTATCTGCTGAGCCAAACCGGTTTTGGCAAATTGGTAACTTTTGAGGTACTCATTTCTTTGAGTCCTGTAAAACTATTGATCTTGTACAAATACTTCAGATCAAATGTGATCCCAGAGACAGAGTAAAAGAGACACTGGGAGTTTTAACAACAGTTACAGTCACTCAACAAGGAATGGAATATTCTTGTGCTCCCAGTTCAGAATATGGTCCCATTACCTAACTTGTAACTCTCTTCTTACATGTAAAAAGGACAATAGTATATGGTCCAGGTTGCTTAACCCAAACAAGAGAAAAATGATGGGAGAACATGATGGCAATCTTCAAATATCTGAAAATCTGGGGAAGATGGAGAAAAAACAACAACTAGTTTCTCTAGTGGGCAGAACTAGCCCAATGATCCCCAAGTTACGATCAGGCATTAAGTGTATGTCTTTATCTAATCCTTGCTGGGCAAAGGGTGTTGCATGCTGAATTTCCACATTGAGTGGGAGACTAGCAGGGGCCTTAGAAATTGCCCAATCCAACTCAAAATTCAATTTCTATGATCCCTGCACAATCTTGACCTTGTGGCTTATTTGGTCCATTGAAGGACAAAGTGTGCCGCAATCACACTGAAGGAGGTCCATGCCCTCTTGGGTGCCACATAGATCTGATGATTACTGAAGGGAATCCGAGGCAAGCTTACCTGCAGTCTGTTGTGTTTGAACACCATCCACCTGAGGCAGGGACCCAAGCGTCCCTTCATCCTCAAAGGCCAAAATTGGATTCAAAGGAATCTCAGGGTTCTCACTGTTGGCGACATCTAATCTGGATGCCTTAGATCCAATAGGTAAGTTTATGATTTCTTCAAAATTTTCATTCTCTAGAGAGACTCCATTTTCATTTGGCTGTTTTTCCAAATTGGGAGTACTGGGAAATTAAAAAAATCAAAATTAAAATGAATTCATGTTAAAACAAAATTTCTTCTAGAAAAACAATAAAGATACCCGTCCTAAGTATGTCACAAGGCACTGCAGGTACTTGGAAAAATTATTTGTAAAAGAGCAATGAAAGAAAAACATAAAAATGTTACACAAACTCAGCGCATGATGGTGCTTTTCTGGTATTTCATCAAGGAGGGGAGAGGAGGTTTGGCATCATCGTAGTCTGCATGAGCACGCACATGCATGCACACACACGCACACATGCTTAACACCTGCCCTTCCAAACACTTGGGCTGCCACTCCCATCCTCCTACTCTTTCCAAGTACCAATGGGGTTTCTGTAACCAGGGAAACAGTCCTGATTCTCATCCCAAAGAAATTTTAAGAAGTTTTGGCAAAAGATAAAGCAGAGAAATGCATCTGCAAAACCCTCATTCCTTAGCCATCTCAACTGCCTTGCCCTTGTAGGCGGCATGTGCTAACAAGCTGCCATGGCAAAGCCAACCCCAGACTTGTGTCAACAGCTGATTTCATTTCCCCTTCCCACTTCTACCGGGCCACCCCACCCACTCTTACTTGTCAGCAATTAGGGGAATAATTGCTTTGGGTATGCAATTATTAAATGTTCAGATGACTCTGACCCGCAGAAACTAGAACACTGAAACTGAAATCACTGGGGTTATGCATCTGTGTGTACTCTCAGAATAAGAGCACCAGCTTTTGAATTCCCTTTGTCCACTCTGGAGGTTGGAGCTGAATACAAGCCTCTTGAAGCCTGTGTATTTCGCTTGTTCAGTCCAAAATCCAGAAAAAAGGGCTGGGACCATGGTAGCGATCTGACAGTCCAAACCACTTATTGTAGCTAGGGCCTTATTTTTTCTTAATGTTTATTATCATGTTATAACAAATAATTTAAAAAGTGACAAATCTTTTTCTGTTTGCATGATAGGGGCTTGGGTATGTTACTTTTTTTTTTTTTTTTAATATATTTTATTGATTTTTTACAGAGAGGAGGAGAGAGGATAGAGAGTTCGAAACGTCGATGAGAGAGAAACATCGGCCGGCCGGCTGCCTCTTGCACACCCCCTATCGGGGATGTGCCTGCAACCAATGTACATGCTCTTGACTGGAATCAAACCTGGGACCTTTCAGTCCGCAGACCGACGCTCTACCACTGAGCCAAACCGATTTTGGTGGTATGTTACTTTTTAATTAGGCAAACACATACACACACACACACACACACACACACACACACACACACACCAAAAAAACCCCCCAAAAAACAAAAACAAAAAAACAACCCTCTAAATACAATGATAAACTCCTCAGATTTGGAGGAAAACCATTAGGTTAAACACCAAAGTTACTACAAATCCCTTACTTGAGAGAAGAAACATTGGATTGAAGTGATAGCCCCCTAGGGCTAAGAACAGCATAACATGTCTTCTGGGGTATTAGGACAGTAAGATAGTAGCCTGTTATACCCATGAGTTTTTAGTTTCTGGAATAGATTCTCAGCTGGGCGTGGAAGAATCAGAATGACCTGAGAGGTTTAAAGAAATTTCCTGCCTCACCCCTTGTGTTTACACATTTATCCTTTGTTTCCTGTTCTAAAGCAAGTTTCCTATTCACAAAAAAACACTCTCCTCTATTAATGGGCACTTCCGTCTATAAAAACTCTCTCCAAAAAGGGCTTCTGGAGAAGAATCATCCTTGCTCAGGTTTACATATTTCTTTGAAAGCTGGCCAGAATTTTGGTAACACCAATCCTCTTCAATTCTACCTGTTGTTAGTGGGGGGCCTGTCAGGCAAGGGTAATGGTCTTCAGGCTTTAAGAGGATTGCACACTAAAAGCTGAGAGCCAAAGAAACCAGAGAGGTTAGCCATGTGACTCAGGACCCTCAAGGTCAGGAGCGAACTTCAGGGAGTTTCTCTGCTCCAGGAACTGCTGCTTCTGCCAGCTACAAAAGCAACCCGAGGAGGCCATTGCCACATCTCTGGGGGTGGGTATGGCGATCACAGCATTCATTTATTTTTCTTGAAGAGAAAGCAAACCAATGTATTAGGTACAGGAGACGTTAGGAAAAGCGAAACTTGTCCCATCCTGAACTAACGGTATTCATTCTGAGGAGTGGAATTTTCTAGTGAAAACAAACCGTACCACAGTGCTGATAGCATTTGTCACGGTGGATTTCCACAGAGTAAGGACCACATCAAGATGTTTGGAAGGGGCCCTGGGAATGTGCAATTTGTGATTTAATTCATGGCGGGCAAGCTGGAGGCATCTGTGACTACATTGGGTGTGTAGTAGGGTATTTAATGCATATGTTGAATCATTCTGAGGATTGTGGAATGCTTCATTAAACATAATGCACTGAGGTGGAAAACTATGACTTGGATAAGTAATTTCAAGGTTACCTTGAAATTGGGAATAAAAAAACATAAAAGATATGACTTACTTGTAATTTTAAAGTCTTTAACAGGTTTTCAGGTGCAAAACTGTTTAAAAATGAGGGGATGTACATAAACAAAGCGAATGTGTACTCATGAGTAAGAAACTGCCTTAGGGAAAGGTATTAGAGGGAGGTATAAGTAGGTCCTTCTCTAGATGGAAGAATATGAGTGGCAGAGAGTCCAAGGATCGGTGCTAAGACTGCTTTAATAATAATCTAGAAGGTGTGCAGGATGAAAATGTAGGTATGCAAATAAAGTTTATAAGAATAACCCCTTGAGTATAAGAGGAAAAATCATTCAACACAAGCAAGGTAAAAGCAGTTAGTTTAAAGAACTCTACAATGAACCATCCTTAAAAGATAGTGAGCTGTCAGTCACAACGGAAGTAACAGATCTTGGAATCACTGTAAACTGTTTCCTGGTGACACTGATTTCTTGTTTCGATGGTGAAAACAAGACTAATAAAATGTGAGGCATAGAAAGATGGGATACCAGATACAACACAAAAGCATTTTTCTACAATGTCACAGTGCAGCTACACCCCGTCAGTGTACTGTGTGTCTTTTGGACTTGGCACCTTAGAGGCATAAATCAGCATGTGTTTGTGCACTTCTTTTGATGTATTTGTTAATACAAGAGGTGATGCAAAGTGAAAATATAGATTTTTCTAGATTGCTATGGAGAAATTTAAGGGAGATAAATTTAAAAATAATGAAGGGAGGCAGAGTTTCTTAGGCTACAAAGTTTGTGTCCCAAGCAAAGGAGAATAAACTTAGCAAGCACAGTAAGTATTCCCTACAGGCCAGGGTCATTCAGTAATGGGTGATGTTTTTCTAACTGATGTCCCAGTCTCTACGAATTTTTACAAATTTATGTTTTTACTGGTAATTTTTTTTAAATCAACAGAAGAATGGTATGATGATAAATAGGGCTGACTGTCACAAAGCTGAGTCTTATCGCATGATTTAGTGCTCCATTTTGCATTTGTACTCCAGAGTATACTGATAAGAGGCGGTTTCAGCTTAGGTGCAAGGGCTAAGGACAAATGAACTAGGTTCACTGGGTAAATAAACATTGTGTTAGTGCCAGGTAGAAAAGTCAAGTGCCATCATGGCACACTATCTGAGGAGACCTGAGGTTTTAGAGCAGATTAAATAGAGAAACGCAATGGGTGGAATGAATCATCAGCAAATCACGGTAGCATAAACATCCCGAAAGCAAAAGGGCTTGGTCAGTACCACATGTATAAGGTTGACTTATTTCTGGAAAAATAGCATTCTTCACAATGACATGTTGAATTTGAATGTTCTTGGTCTAAGCAATGTTATTTTATTTTTAATCCTCACCCTAGAAAAAGTTTTACTGATTGTAGAGAGGAGAAGGAAGAGGAAAAAAAAGAGAAAGATTGATGTATGAGAGAAACATCTATCGGCTGCCTCTCCCATGCTCCCCCACTGGGGATTGAATCCACAAGCTAGACATGTGCCCTGATCAGGAACCGAACCAGAAACATTTCAGTGCATGGGACAATGCTCCAAACAACTGAACCACACTGGCCAGGGCTAAGCAGTGTTATTTTTAACTTCAATTTGTGATTTGTTGTTTTGGCTTTCCAGATAGATAATAGCTATCAATTTTTTAAACCTAAATTTACATTTGTAAAAATAAAATAACTCGTGGATAGTTTCTTTTTTCCTTTAAAGGGGAGACACACTGGAGCCAAAGGATTACATTTGTTAAGGTGATTCTTGTATTATATCCCAATGTTTATATTTGGATACTAATCTGGATCTGCCTGCATTGTTAGGTGAAAGAGTAGAAAAGGCATATGCTTGTATTTCTCCTAGTTGTTTGACAGGGATCATCTTACATGCATGACAAAGGACAGTTTATTACTTGAGTAAAGAAGGATGACACCATTAAGTTCACAGTACTGTTTGTTTAAATTATAAATTGTGTGTGAAGGAGGCTAAAAGAAAATATAATTCTATTATCTATATCATTTTATATAGTAAATTTATGTTTCAGGTTCTTTTGTTTGTTTGTTTAATATATATTTTATTGATTTTCCACAGAGAGAAAGGGAGAGGGACAGAGAACTAGAAATGTCGATGAGAGAGAAACATCGACCAGCTGCCTCCTGCACACCCCCTACCCGGGATGTGCCCGCAACCAATGTACATGCCCTTGACTGGAATTGAACCCAGTCAAGGGCATGTACATTTCAGTCCGCAGGCTGACGCTCTATCAACTGAGCCAGACCGGTTTTGGCTGTTTCAGGTTCTTATGTAATGATTAGTAACTTGGTGATTTTACCTTTGAAGGCAGTCAGTTAATGTATAAACTAACTTAGGTTGCACAGTGGCTTAATAGGCCTATTCTTTATCATAATGATGGCATTCACTCTGTGATGTTTTTCATTCCTTTCTAAGAATCTCTGAAATTAATAAATTGAACATAAATTACAGCAGGTGGAAACAAATATTTTATCTGAAGAACAAACTATAACTAAAGGAATAAAGTATCATTTAATATACATGTTAGGTAATTATGACAATAAATTTACTCAACAGAATTGAAAGCTTATCATTAAGATCTCTCTCAGGAATATTATTATCTTTGGTATTATAGTGGACAAAATAACAAATATTTCACTGTCACAGAAAGAGGTTAATAGATATGATTTGTGGACATCTTCAGATGACATCTTTTCATTGCTGTCAATCATGCTATAAAAGGTGTAGTATGTATTTTATTTATGTTTATTTTTATATATTTCATTGATTTTTTTACAGAGAGGAAGAGAGAGGGATAGAGAGTCAGAAACATTGATGAGAGAGAATCATCGATCAGCCGCCTCCTGCACACCTCCCACTGGGGATGTGCTCGCAACCAAAGTACGTGTCCTTGACTGGAATCGAACCTAGGACCCTTGAGTCCACAGGCCGATGCTCTATCCACTGAGCCAAACCGGTTTTGGTATGTAGTATGTATTTTTAGATTTAAAAAATTAACTGGAGGACTGTCAATTTCCTGATGTTAGCAGAGATTCTGGCATTAGAAACTGGAAAACTCATTAAATAATTAAATTCTGAAAATGAAAATAAGTCATAGCTGAACATTTGCACATTATTACAACTATTTCTCAAGTTCTTCATGACTGTATTTTTAGATATAGCTATGACTGTTTTTTGAGTGTGCTCTTATGATGTCAATATTAATGCAAGGAAAGAGAAAGGCAACCTTTCAACACCTGCTCCTTTCTTGATTGTTAGCAAGTGTTTGAATCTTCAATAAATCTCACTCTACTAAGATAGCTTAAGAATTACTGGTATAGAAATTAATTTGTCTGGGGAACAAACACTGTCTCATTAAATAGTATAGTAAAAAAAATAGTTATTATATACCATTATATAATAAATATTATATATATGGTTTTGATCATGTTAAATATAAACAGAGAAAAGTAAATTATTCCTTGTAATTTTCTTTAACAGTCTTACAAAACCCTCACTATCATATTTAAAAATGCAAGAAAAAAATATTTTCCCTTTCTCACAGAATTACTAGCTCAACCAAAAATTAATGAACCTTGCCGAAACTGGTTTGGTTCAATGGATAGAGCGTCGGCTTGGGAACTGAAGGGTCCCGGGTTCAATTTCAGTTAAGGGCATGTACCTTGGTTGCATGCATATCCCCAGTAGGGGGTGTGCAAGAGGCAGCTGATTGATGACTCTCTCTCATCGATGTTTCTAACTCTCTCTCTCCCTTCCTCTCTGTACAAAATCAATAAAATTTATATATATATATATATATATATATATATATATATATATATATATATTTTTTTTTTTTTTAAATTAATGAACCTAGATAAAAATAAATCCTAATGTTAAAACTCTGAAATTTCAGCAGGCCCAGAAAATTCTGTTGGGATTGGGTTGGGGGTAAAAACAGTAGTGTCAGTTCTAATGCATATCCATAAAAAAGGCCCCAGCTGCTTGACTCACCTGTCCACAGATACTTTCAATTGGTGTGAGGTATCCACATGTGGGCTGGCCGCTGGCTCTCCATTTCCTGGAGAGTTCATCATACCCGGAAGGGCAGAGACTGCTGGACGTGGCAAAGAAGATGGAACAAAGGGTTATTAGTACCTTACTGTCAAACCCACACCCCAGGAGCTGGAATGCCTGATTTCGGTACTGGCTCTGCTAGTTATCCGCTGTGTGACTTGGGCAAGTGACAAACACTCTGTGCCTCAGTTTCCTCACCGGCTACTGTGAGAAGTAAATGTATTAACACACGTGAAGTGCTCAGAATGGTTTCCAGCACATTGTAAGTGAAAACCAGTGTTATTGTTTTTGTTTGCACTGAATTGACACTGGACAAATGGTATGTAATACTGAAAGCAAAGCAAGTGATGACGATTGCAGTAAGCTGCCCTGATTAGACTGTCGCTGAACTTCTTTACTGAAGAAGTAAACAAATCCCCGTGAAATACATTCAGTGATAAAAAAAAAATATGTTTCAAAACTCAGTTTGGTTCTAGTCACGCTTAGAATGTTAGGGATTTCATGAACATTACCTGACTGTGCCACCTTGTTATTCAGTGCTCAATGTCAGAGTCCAACTTATGCCAGCAATATTGATGACTTATTCTAAAACTGGGGACATAGTTACTGAATGTCTGGTAAACCTTCACAGAGGTCAGAGTTGCAGGGAAATTTGTGCAGTTTATGGTTTTAGTTTGATGTGAGAGAATAACTGAGGTAATTCTAAAAAAGTGTTATTTCAACACCCTGGCACAAATTCAATAAACCTGTCCAGAGGCACAAAGAGTCCGATAACTGAAGAAGTGATTGATAACTTTAAAAGCTGCCAACATTTGCAAAGCTGGAAATAGGCAGCTTTGGAGAAGACTTTGGATGGGTCTGTAAATTCACTTGCCTGCAACCCACCCTAGAATTCTCTTTGGAGCACTGTTAACACCATTTAGCCCTCAACCAGATGTGGGACCAACAGAGGAGAAATACTTGTTAGCCAGATAATCTCAGGCCTCTTTTTAGTGGTATTAACTCAAACCAATCTTTTATGAGTATTGATAAATAAAGATGTAACAACTGACAAGTTTAACCTTCCTTCTTGCCTTCTGTTCATCCTCAGATTGAGGTACAAAGAATACTGAAAGAATTGGTAGAGGAACAGCAGGGAGGGGAAAAATGAACAAATAACAATATGGAGCCAGGCCATGCACACACTACAGCATCAGCCCCTCAAATAATCCTGAGCTGGTGCAATTTACATCCCGATACCCTCATTCTAATAGCTCACTGGGTGCTATGCCTCCTTACAACCTATCTAATACAACATTCTCGAAGATACCTGCTAAAAATGCAATGGTATAAATATGTAACCACTAGGGCTATTCTTCAAACAAATATAATTAGGGCATCTTTAACAGAGTGTGAAAACCCCACTATCAAGCAATCATGACCAGAGAAACTAGGATAGTTTCTATTGAAATAAAACTTAATTCTACAATGCAAATATTTTACATTTGAAAACCTCCATAATTGACAGAGAATATTCTTTCACATAAATCATTTCATTTGACCTTTACTCTGATCTTGACAAAGAATCAGAAAAAGAAACTGAGGTATCTCTGGTTCTTTCTTTTCATGTTGATACTACATGTGAGGAAAGAGGAAGACTTGAATGAGGAGCTACCTATCACCACCCGTATGTAGTCACGAAGACCATGTGGGAACACGGAGGGAAGAGAATTAGCGCTGGTGACTTGGACTCCAGCTGTGCAAACTGGCCTGTCACTCAATGTGAATGCCCCTGGGAGGAAAAGACCTTCCTGTCTTGGTCACACTGAATCCTAGCACCTACTCCTGGGCCTGGCACATAGCAGGTCTCTGGAAATGCTGTTGACTCCAAGATAAAGCCCCTTCTCCCACACAAGGTGGCAGTGGAAATTCAATAAGCAAAAGCATATAGAATGTACCTGACACAAAAAGGGCATTTAGTAAATACTAACTGAATCTGAGTACTAAAACATTAATGTTATTTTTACTTAGATCAGATCTGATTTAAACCCCCCAAGAAATGAATCTCTCTGTCTATAGCATATGAATAACTTTCTAATGAAACTGTAACAGATTTTTAATTTTAACTGTATTCTGAAGTCAGAACTAAAAGAAATACTATTTAAATTCCTTTTTGAGAATTGCCATACGTACAATTTGCCAAAAATATGTATATTTAAATGAAATTTAATTTTGTAAATGCAAAGAAAAAAGTTTGTGTGTACACATGTATACATAATATATCTATCTATATAGCCATATATAGGTATATATACAGATATATACAAATCTATCTACACACACACACACACACACACACACACACACAGATACATATAAGACATACATAATGATTTGAGATGTTAAGTACTCCATTTGTGTATAAACAAATGTGAAAAAACATTGTCCAGAAAAGCTAGAGAGAGTTTTACCCAGGGGAAAATGTGTGGATTAGATGACATACACCTAAGCTTCTGTGAATCAATTATATCTTTTTTTTTTTTTTAATCCACCAATGACCATCTTGACCTCTAGAAAGTCAATTAAAAAATTCTATATTTGGATTGAGTTCTTTGAAATAAATACCTGTTCCTCCAGTGAGAGCTCCCTTGGCTATATCTCCATTTCTCTGATCAACAGTTTTCTACCAAAGAAAATAAGGAAAAAGGCTTTTTAATGTTAAAGTGACAAGTGAAGTAAAAAAAAAAAAAAAGCCATTAAGAAGAGCTAAAAATGGCCATCTCAATACCTTATCTGTAGTTTCTGTTCTCCTGGTTCTTTTCATAATCTCCTCAAGTCGCTATGAGAAAAGGAAGAAATGAAGGAACAGATCAGATATAGGAAGAAAGCTGTCCTGGCACATTTCACTTAATAAACAAATAGCAGGTCATTAAACACACCTGCTATTTTGAAAAATATAATTCTCCCTGCTTTGTCTTAATTGGAGTTATTCCGAAATGTTAGAACTGCCTTAAACCTTATGAATTGGAGATAACTTTTTGAAGGGTGAACTATACATGGTGATTTCTTTGGAGGAGATTTTTTTAAAAAGCTTTAATAAATTTTTATTGCTTTCAGAGAGGAAGGGAGAGAGAGAAAGAGAGAGAAACATCAACGGTGAGAGAGAATCATTGATCGGCTGCCTCCTGCACTGGGGATCAAGATGCAACCTGGAACCATGACTCTTGGCTCATAGGTTGACGCTTCACCACTGAGTCACGGCGGCGGGCTGGAGATTTTTAATAGTGAGAGCCACTTTGGTTTGTCCGGAATGGGCAGAACACGTGTTTTCTGATGGCAATAAGCTAGTCTCTAGATCGTTGGATGGCTTCCAGTCTAGAAGGATCCAGAGCCATTAGCGTCCCAGGCTTCCCCTACCTTCTTTCTCTCCAGGCGCTCCTGCTCTTCTCTCTGGAAATGCTTCTCCCGTTCCTGCCGGGCCTTCTCTGCTTCCTCACGGACACGAGCTTCTTCTTCTTTCTAGAAACAAGAAGCGGGCAGGTGATTCTTACAAATAGGCAGGCTTGGTCTGCAGCCCCAATCTCTCGGGGCGCCCAGGGGTGGAGGCGAGAGAGCAGGTGGACAAAGTGCAGAAAATGAGCGCACGTACAAGACTCAGAGCAATTCTGACGACCCACTGCCCGTTTTCCTCTGCCCATCAGGGATGACCCCGACCCATCCTGGCAAGGGGCAGCCCTGAGCTTCATCGCTCGGCGCCCAGGGCCCCCACCTGCTTCTGCAGACGCTCCGTCTCCTCCCGCTCGCGCTGCTCGCGCTCCTCCGCCTGCCTCCGCAGCTGCTCGGCCCTCTCCCGGGCCTGCTCCGCTTCCAGCCGGCGGGCTTCTTCCTCCCGGCGGCTTCTCTCCTCTGCTACCCTTTGAGCCAATTCCTCTCTCTTTTGTCTGGAGAAAGAGAAGAACCAAACAAAGATATGTTTGAGGGGAATTCCGTGGAGAGAGGGGCTCGGGAGTGTGGCTACTGCCTGGACAGTTTGTTCAGAGCCTGGCAGAAAAGGCTCCACAGGATGCATTCCCTGCCATTCAGAGACAGACTGGGGAAGCCACCACCTTCTCTTTCTCTTCCTCCTCCTCCTCCCAGGCTCCTGTTGCCTTGTGGCCAAATGCAACCGTTTATATGAGGGGACGAGCTTGCTTTGTAAAAGAATCTGCAATTTAACCATCTCTAAAGGCTGAGGCTCTTTTCTCCCCACCTCCAACCCCCTAATCTTTGTCAATAAACAAAGGTCAGGATGTTCTGTCACACGACAGGAGGAAGATGACAGAACCAAGCTCCAAGACAGCCCATCCTCCCAGGGTGCAGCTCTGCTTATTTGAAGAACAATTTTGTTGACATTATTAGCCTTCCCAGCCCCAGAAGGAGACCAACTAAGCAAACTGTCCCTGGCAATACTGTCTGGCAGGCAATCACCCAATCACCTGGCACTATCTCACCCAGCCACCCGCTAAGAGAACTTCTATCTGGAAAAAAGAAAACATGAACTTTTACTATTCAGCTTTAAAATGATAATGAGAAGGATAATGAAGGAACATGGAGATTAGAGATATGTTAAGTAAAATAAACAAACAAACTCAGCCTGGTACAACTGTATCTCTACTGTGGCTTTAAATATGTGTGTGTGTGTGTGTGTGTGTGTGTGTGTGTGTGTGTATATATATATATATATATATATATATATATATATATATTTGGTGAAATATACACTTACATGTGAAAAAAATATAACTAACTGTACACTATTCACAGAGACTAGAAAGGATTATTCAAAATGACACAATTATTGAAAATTGGTTAAGATTGTGAATTTTTTTCTTTAAACCTTTCTTCATTAATGTTGTATTGTCAGTGTAATAAGAAAATGTGATTTTAAAAAATCAATAGTTACAGGAACACCAGGTAAGTTGGAAATAGTCCCATTCACCATTCTCACTTGCTACCACCTCTTCTCTCACCAACTGAAGACTGAATTCAAGTTATGAAGATATTCCTATATCACGTAGCAATGCCACTGCTTTACCTTTCAAGCTCTTCCCTCTCCCTCTTTTCCCTTTCCTCCTTCTCTCTCTGCTCTCGGGCCAGCCGCCTCTTCTCAGCTAGCAGCCTTGTGGCCTCTTCTGGGTCGGTGGTGCCTGCCGAGGTCTTAGGAGAAGCACTGGCAGTCACAGTTGGTGATGGTACTGGGACTGTCGCTGGGACCGAGGCTGGGACCGAGACTGGAGTGGGGGCTGGGGCTGGAACAACTGTAGAAAAAGATACAAGGAGAAAACCAATTGGAAACAAAACCCAAAAAACAAAACAAAAACTAGCATTCCCTACACCCCAGACCTAGAATTCATCATTATAAAAGAAAAAGGGAATGTTTATTACTGTGTGTTCTCACGGTTCCACTGTATTCTATCTGTAACCAAGCAACAGACAACAAAAAGCTGCATGCACATGTGAGACATCCAACCAAGCTGACACTTTTCAACAAGTCTCATTTTCATACAAGTTAAATCAGTTAAGAACATGTGTCATGTCGAATGTGTACTGAGCATAGAGTCTCACATTAGGTTCTGTGAGAAGTTATACCCTGAGCAAAAAAAATGAGACCTTCCATATGCCTTTGATTAAAATTTAAAAATCTGCCCTGACTGGTTTGGCTCAATGGATAGATCATTGGCCTGCAGACTGAAAGGTCCCAGGTTCGGTTCCGGTCAAGGGCATATACAAGGGAGGCAGCTGGTCGATGTTTCTCTCTCATCGATGTTTCTAATTCTCTATCCCTAACCCTTTCTCTCTCTAAAAAAGTCAATAAAATATATTAAAAAAAATTTTTTTTAATTCTTCTCTTTTGTGATTATTCCTTACTAGAGGACTAAAGCTGACCATCTCAGCATCCATGCCACGAGCCAAACACAGGCTGGGAAGATAAGACCCAATGAAGATTTTCCCTTTGTCTACTCAGAGCTGTGTCCTGGTCAGAGGCAGCAGGAGCCAAGAGCCACTTCAGGAGCTGGCACTCCTCTACCTTACATTTCCTGGTCCCCCCTGTCAGTCCTGATGCCAAGATCAGCATGGGGGCAGAAGTTCTCTGACCTTATTCAGATTCAGGAAAGTGACCTAGAGAGCTGGCACAGCAGGGAGCACCACACAGAGGCACCACAAGGAGTGCGCTCTGGAACTGACCATTCCAGACACTCCTGTCAAGATTTACATTTCTCCTTCCACTCCCTTGGGTTTTTCTTTATGTTCAGTACTCTCTTTGGCCTTTCTCTTCTCTTTGCATGCAAACACTGGACTCCCCCATTCTCTAACAACTCTATTTGGCTCGAGCCATCAATTCTTTCTTTGCTCCTACCCTCAATCTTCAAATTATCTTCAAATTAAGTGTTAAGGAGAAAACTTTGAATAAAGACAATTTTCAACAAGGAATACTGAATTCCTAGGTCCAGGCGATTTCAAACTTCTAAAAACATCTAGTAAGCTGGGAAGAGATGAGATCCACTGAATCTTCTGAAAAAAATTCTAACCTTTGTCAAGCACATGGGCTAAGTTAGTGATCCTTAAACTCCTGAAGCATAGGAAGAGGATAACTGATCACTCTGTAATCCTGCACAGAAATCGCCTGGAGAACTTAGGATATTTTTGAGTCCTTGGATCCCTCAGATATTCTGATTCAGTAGGTTTGATGTAGGGCCAGGCTTCTAAAGTTTGAAATGCCACAGATATGGTGGTTTAAAAATATCTGCACAAATTCTTTGATAATCTTCCCTTGAAATGGTGGAGACTAATCCCTCCTCTTGAGTGTGAGTTGAACCTAGAGACTTGCTTCCAATGACCAGAACATGACAGAAATAGTTATTTTTGTGTCTTCTAAAACTAGGCATAAAAGAAACTGTGGATTCCTCCTGATTCTCTCTCTTAGGTCACTTAAGGAAAAGCCAGCAGAGCAAGCAGACAAATTGTGAGAACATCAAGCAACCCTATGGGGAGCTTCACATGTCATGCAATTGAGGCCACCTGCCAACAGCCATGTGTATAAACCATCCTCCAATAATCTAGCTAAGCTGCTTCCAAATTTCTGATCTAAGACTATGTGTCATATAAAAATTGTTGATTTAACCTGGACAGGTTTAAGAAAATATGTAACGCAGCAACAGATGACACAAGTAATTCTGATGCTGGTGCTCTGAAGACCACATTTTGTGAAAATAATAAGCAATTAAAAACCATAATTGCATTAAAGATGGCTGCACAGGTGAATACCTAGTTGCAGCCACACACAACAATTTCAATAAAATACAACTAAAATATAAAATGGACATTACCCAGAACTACAGGAAAGTCAACTGACAGGAAATTCTACAATGAGAAGCAAGGAGAAAACCAAAAGGAATTGCGGAGGAGCTGTAAAAGCCTAAGGTACGGAGACACACGGCGCGCGGAGAGGACGGAGCCAGAGAGGAGGGAGGCTGATTGCCTGGCTGGCGTTCCCTAGCGGGAAGGAGATAAAAGCTCCTACTGTGTTGGGCCTCAGTTCCGACTGCTCTGAACACCAGTTCTAGGCCAGACCCCGGGGACCCAGGCTCATCCAGAGGGAGCTGGGCTGTAAGGCGGAACTCCGGGGGAGCGGCGAAAGGAGGTTCCGGAGGTGCGCACATTGCACGCAGAGAAGGGACAGTTGGCAGTGCCACGGAATTGCCCTGGCGGTTAGGAGACAGGAGCTCCAGACTGCTCTGAACACCACCTCCAATCCCACTTCCAACTGAACTGAACCCCAGTTCCAGGCTCTTTGGGAGAGAGCCTAGACTGTTTGGTAGCAAGTGAAAATCGAGGGCACCTTTCTCTCAGAGGTGCTGAGTACTGAAGAACCCTGAGACTCAGGAGCCGCATAGGGCAGGGCTGACAGAAGCCAAGGCTGTAGGCTCCACCCTGAAACTCTGCCCCATCAAGAAAGCTGCGAAAATGAGACAACAAAATAGATCACAAACGAAAGAAATGGAGGACAAAAAACAACTGGATATAGAGTTCAAATCTACGCTTATAAGGTTTTTCAAGAATTTCCTAGAAAAGATCGATAAGACCTCTGAGGATATGAAAAGGGATTAACTAGAATTAATAAGGAATCAATGAGAAATGATAAGGGATCAACAAGAAATAAAGAATACATTGTCTGAAATAAAAAATATTATACAGAGTCCTAAAAACAGAATGGAAGATCGCAAGAATCAAGTCAAAGATTTGGAACATAAAGAGCCAGAAGACACTCCTCCACAGAAGCTAGAAGGCAAGAGAATCCAGAAAATTGAAGATAATGTAAGAAACCTCTGGGACAACTTGAAGCGAACCAACATCAGAATTATGGGAGTCCCAGAAGATGAGAGAGAGCAAGATATCAAAAACATACTGAAAGAAATAGTGACAGAAAACTTCCCCCACCTGGTGAAAGAATTAGACTTACAAGTCCAGGAAGCTCACAGAACTCCAAACAAAAGGAATCCAAAGAGGACCACACCAAGACAAATCATAATTAAAATTCCAAGAGCAAAAGACAAAGAGAGAATATTAAAAGCAGCAAGAGCAAAGCAGGTAGTTACCTATAAAGGAGCACCTATACGATTGTCAGCTGATTTCTCAGTAGAAACCATGCAGGCCAGATGGGAATGGCAAGAAATATTCAAGGTGATGAATAGTAAGAACCTACAGCCAAAGATAATCTACCCAGCAAAGCTATCACTCAGAATCGAAGGCCAGATAAAGAGCTTCATTAATAAAAAAAAAGCTAAAGGAGTTCATCACCACCAAACCAGAATTATATAAATTGCTGAAGGGGGTTCTTTCGGAAGAGAAAGTAAATAAAGATAAAAATTATGAACAACAAATACGTAACTATCAACAAGTGAATCTCAAAACCAAGGAAATTAAAAAATAAATCTGATGAACAATATTAACTGTTGAATATAATAGAATCAGACGATTCTTGGGGAAAAGGGGAGAAGAGATGTGGGAAGAGACTGAACATAAACTGTGTACCTATGGATGAGGACAATGGGGGGTGGGGAAAGGGCAGAGAGTGGGATGGGAACCTGGTGGAGGAGAGCAATGGAGGGGGTGGGGGGGAAGAACATTTGTAATAATATGAACAATAAAAACTTATTTAAAAAAATAAAAAATAAAAACCATAACTGCATTAATATGCTATGCCTCATCCGACAGTAGGGTTTTGGATGTACAATTCTACTTTCTTTGTAGATAAGAAAAGAAAACTATACATAAGAAAAGGCCCCAAAATTAGCCTCAGAATAAAATTTCTAATTCTTCCAAAAGGGGGATAAAGAAGATAGGAGAAAAGGGGAAAGAGCAAGCAACCTATATTCCATCACAGGTGGGTTGATTCTTACCAGAGGCATCCTCTGTTTCACCAGATGTCCCCTCTTCAACTGTGGCTTCTTCCACCTTCACTAAAGGTGTTCGACCCTTTAGTGGGAGCTCATTGGCAACTTTCTGAGGTTCCTTCTCCGGGTCTTTTCTCTCAGGTTCCACTCTGACTTCTCTCTTGACAGGGCGGATGTTGCCAGGGGATGGGGGCCGGACCTGAGCAGGTATAGCTTTGACTGGTCCAGGAGGCAAGGAAGATGTAGGTCTGGGTGTGCCAGGCAAATGAGGAAGGGACTTGGATGGGAGCCTGGGAAACAAACACACAGCATGAAGAAGAGAGAACATACTAGAACAGGCTTTCCAGAATCTCCATTCCCCGAACCCCTGATCATAAAAAAAGAAATGAAGGTATTTATATTTTGATAAATGCAGAAATATTCCCATTAAAGGCCCATACCACTTTTCTTTAAGAAAAAAAAAAAATGTTATTCCCTAAGTTAAAGTCAAACCGTGTAGGGGGAACAGCTTCATTTCAGGGGACAGAGGCTACCACTTCTCCAGCATGGAGCAACCCCGTCAGCCTCTTACATGCCACTTACCACAGTCGGGGGGAAGCTGGTGATCTGGCTTTGGGATGAGATGGAGACAAAGCCCTTCGGATGCCGGATGTGCGGGGGAAGGGTACGTTTTCTCTCTCCCTCTCTCTTTTATGGCCCTAAGTTCAGAGAAATGCAATAATTAGATTTTTCCCCATGTGTCAGACAACCCAATTCGGGGTATTCAGCAATGGAGCTGCAATCCATCCAGTCACATTTTAGATATTTTCTAACCTTCCTTATATATCTCCATTCCACCCCAAACAAAAGGCCTGTGTTAGCTTTAAAGCAAACATTATACTAAAGTCACATAATGTGCCGGGACCGGTTTGGCTCAGTGGATAGAGCGTCAGCCTGCGGACTAAAAGGTCCCGGGTTCGATTCCGGTCAAGGGCATGTACCTTGGTTGCGGGCACATCCCCAGTGGGGAGTGTGCAAGAGGCAGCTGGTCAATGATTCTCTCTCATTGATGTTTCTAACTCTCTATCCCTCTCTCTTCCTCTCTGTGAAAAATCAATAAAATATATTAAAAAAATAAAAATAAAAAAATAAAGTCACATAATGTGACACTAAGAAGAAGGTTCTTGATGAGTGATTTGGATTTACATTTGTAAGAAAAAAAATACACTTATATTTTTAAAAAGCACCTGTACTTTGTATTTAAAATTACAGGGAGCAAAATCTCTTATAATCTGGTTTAACCCATGCAAATGTCAAAATAGAAGTCACTTCCAGTCTCCCCCATGCCAATTTTTAATTAAAATACACTTTATATCTTTAAATTCTTCAGCACTTTTCTGGAACATACTATAGTTCAATCTTTTTTTTTTTTAATTTACATGTCAGCAATATCAGACTTTAATTAATATTTTTATATTGATGTTATACTAACAATTTCTTAGTCAGTGTCTTTCTGCTCTTGAAGAAAAAGTCAGGTTCAAGGTGAGGAATTTTAGCTATTTTTAGTCTTCTTCACTAGGGACGCAATTGTAACCTGAGGGTGGGCCAAAACATCAGCCCTTCTCTGACTGACAACCAAGAATCCGGCCAGAGAGATGACACCTTCCCTAAGTTGGAAAGGTCCAGGGGAAACCCAGACAAGTGTTTCCTAATCATCTAACATTAACCATGACAAAAAAAACCTGCACAAAAGGCTCATTTCAAGTATCTAAAACTCGCCAACCAGTGTTCTGGGATGTAGTGGATGCTTGCTGGAGGCACCTGTGTGAGCGCCTGGCAGTTCTTCACTCTGTGAGACCCTTTCAGGAAAGCAGACACGGGTATACAAAGAAAAGGGCACAATATTATCTAGTCGCAGGGCTAAGAAGTTCGTAGTGTACCTTCTATTCTTTGTTTTTCTAGCCTGGTTCATGCATCAACTCCTGTCTTCCTACCTTTTTTGTTCCTTCCCTGTCCCTTCTAATTGCTTCTCTTCTTTCCTTAGTAGCATCTTAGTGGATGGATGGGTCCATGGGAGTGGGGGCAAATCTAGTATCAAATAAAACTCAATGTCTTCCAGAATACAACACATAAAGAGTGGGCAGCAAAGATCTTCATAAGATGCGTGGCAGCTCTATATCACTGGAGGCTTCCATCACCACTTTTTGTCCCCATCTCTGGTCTCAGTGTGGGAGGTTGGGCCTCGGAGACTAACTGTAGTTCTTGTGTAGCAGAAGCAGCAGCCACCATATGGCACCCTCCTGACAGGTGTTACTGGGTGGTAATTATGCCTCTCCTGGATCAGCCCCTGGAGGGGAAGGCTCAGGGCTCTTCACAAGGGAGGCTGGGGTTAAGCAGTTCAAGTAGCTTTTTTCCCTTTTTATTTAAAACATTTTTATTTGGCTGAAGTCAGATCAAGGCTAGATCTGAATGGGGAAACTAGGAAGGGTGATTTGTGATGTAGAGGGTTTGGTATGAATTTCATCATCTGTACCTTGATAAAACAGTTATTAGAGAATGAAACTACATATATAAGTGTACAATACTCAGTCTCTTTTTTTTAATTTTTTTTAATTTTTATTTTTAAGTAGCACGGAACCAATTTTTTCTTTGCTAAAACTGACCTCCTTTTAAGTCACCTTAAAAGGTTAGGAGAGCAGTGGGAAAACAGTTTGGAAAAAGGCTCAATACTTGATGTAATACCTTCCCAGGCAAACAGATGTTTTTATCCTTTCATTGATTTTGTACCCAATCAATCACTTGTTTGGATACCACACATATAAAGGTGCTCTTGATTCTTATTCTGATCTGAGTAAATAGCCAATGGTCTGTACAATAATCTTTCTTGTTAACACTTTCCATAAGGCTAAGGTAGGACTCGTGCTCATGTCAATGATCTGGACAACTTCCCAGCAAGACAATTAGAGTTAGGTTTAAAATATAAATAACCTCTAAGAGAGACAAAACAAACAGACACTCAAGGCAGCACTGTCCAGTAGTATCTCTTGTGATGACAGAAATGTTCTAAATCTATATGTCCAATATGATAGCTACTAGCCACATTTGGCTATAATTTGAATTTGGTCTAAATTAATTAAAATTAAATAACATTAAAATTAAATTTAGTCTCACAGAACATATTCCAAGTGCTCAATTGTAGCCATTTGAATTTAGATCTAAATGAATTAAAATTAAAATTGAAAGGAAATTAAGAAGACAATTCCATTTATGATTGCATAAGAAAGAACAAAATACTTAGGAATAAACTTAACCAAGGAGATGGAAGACCTATACACTGAAAACTAGAAGACACTGCTATCAAAAATCAAGGAAGATACAAATAAATGAGACAACATCCTGTATTCATAGACTGGAAAACTTATTGATATCAAGATATCAATTTTACCCAAACGATCTACAGGTTCAAAGCAACCCCTATCAAAACCCAATGTTACTTATTTTTTAGAAATAGAAAAATCAATCTTAAGTTCATATGGAACCTCAAGGGACCCTGAATAGCCAAAACAGTCTTGAAGAGAACAAAGTTGGAGATGTTACATTTCTAATTTCAAAACATATTACAAAGTTACAGTAATTAAAAGTGAGGTATACCTCAATAAACTAAATTTAAAAATTTAGTGTGGTGCTGGCATTAAGACAAATATATAGACAGAGAGCCCAGAAATAAACCCTTGTGACAAAAATCAAAGGATCCTTGAAAAAGGCTGCCAAGACAAATCAATGGGGAAAAGACAGTCTCTTCAACAACTGGTGCTTGGAAAAGTGGATATCCACATGCAAATGAATGTAGCTGCACCATTACCCTATACCATTACAAAAATTATATCAACATAGATAAAAGACCTAAATGTAAAACTTAAGCCTATAAAATTTCTAGAGGAAAACATAGGGGAAGCTCCATACTATTGGATTCGGTAATGGTTTGGATATGACACCAAAGAACAAGTAGCAAAAGCAAAAATAGGCAAATGGGACCACATCAAACTTACAAAAAAAATTTTGTGTAATGAAGGACATCATCAACCGGGCAAGAAGGCAACCTACAGAATGGGTAGGTCAGTCACTCAGACACGATTGAACAAAGAAGTTTTTTTATGTTCAAATTCAAACTTTGGGGAGTAAAATCTCCAAGTGGAGAGGAAGTATGGGGACACTACCACTCAGCCAACCAGATGCAGGACTGGTGGGACAGATGGGATGGTGTGTGTCACCATGTCCCAATCTTACACCCACTCTGTACCTGGGAGGGTGTGTGTGTGTGTGTGTGTGTGTGTGTGTGTGTGTGTGTGTGTCCATTCTGCACAAGAAGTAGCACAGATTTGCCTGGCCACCCCCAAAGGCTACTCACCGCTGAGCTGTAAATAGTCCTCCTCCGCACAGAGCCATCGGGCGGTGTTACAAAGATTTTTGTTCGATCCATCGGATTTCTAGAGTGTGTAGCTTTGTAGGGCATGATGTTGATGGGGCTGCAAGATGCTGAACGAGGACAAATGGGGATAACTAGGGTGCAGGTGATTTTTTTACACACAAGAGTGCCAGAGGAGCAGTTGAAGGAAAGCCAAAAGCAGGTTCAGGAAAAGGAGCGAAGCAGAGATAGAGAGAAAAGCAGGGAGAAGATGTTATTACCTACAGGTATCCAGGCCCTCACACTCAACTCTCCTCACAGTCCTGTCAGTTTGTGGTGTGTCCAAGAGGAAAGCATGTCCAAATAAAAAATCTGGAACATATAAGCTCTTTGGCTATTTAAATACTGACTAAAGAAATAGATGTAATCCAATAATTATGGAAAGCAATGGCCTAATAGTCGTATAAACTCATGGTTTGGTAAAATGCTACATTAATGATAGGTAATTCTTATATGAGGCCTGCTTTATAATCACATTTTTTCCTAATTAGCTTTAAGAGTGAACAAAAGATGGAAAGATAGGAAGCGAGCGAGCAAGCAAGCGACTATTTCAGGAATAAAGTTCAATAGGCAGTGGTTAAAAAAAAAAAAAAAAGGCAACTGATTTTTAAAAATGTTAAACGATCACATCTTACCATGTGATAAGAGATGTTTGAAGGATAACTAATAATTTCTAGAAAAAAATCCTGTGAATGTTTTATCTATTTAAGGGCAAATCAAATGCAAGCTTGTGGATTTTCCCAGAAGCCAAAGCATTTGAAGATTCATAACAAACAGCAGTAGAATGCATGGGGATGTCATCATTTAAAATGGTGAATAGAACACAAATGCGTTAAAATTGCCAAAAATAAAGTTGAATCATGCATAGCTTTACAGTTTTACTCAAAACAGAACATATTTTGAAAAACCACAAAGTTTCTGACCATTCACCTTCAAAGGAACACCGTCATTAATTAAGGGATTCTGAGCAACGATGGTTTAAAGACATTCATTCATACAATAAATACTGCAGAGGTATGTAAAGTGTGGGCACTAAGGTTCCAAGGCTCATTTTCAGATCTCATCCAGAAATCTTGTTCTCCAGCAAAATAATAAGACAATTAAACATGACCACTGAGGAGAATCATATGTAAGTGAACTGCTGTAAACATGGTTTTATCCAATTCTAGCGATGGTAACAACTCTTTTAAAGAGACCATTCATGCCAGCTGAATATACTAACAGTATTAATAAATTAAAAACTCAAAAGTTTACAAGGCAAATTTGGGATAATCTTAATATCACAGTTAAGAGTTTAAAAATATTTTTATTTTGGTTTAATCTATAGATAGGAAGTGGATCAGACTGCATCTTTCATCAAATGCCTGCCAGGATCTTCTAGTTATCAATGATCAGGGCAGTAAATAGACTGGAAATTGCATCCTCTTTTCCCATGATCCGAACACAGAACTTTATTTCTTCAGGGTAAACAGAAACATTTTGCATTCCCTCAGCTCTCCTGAAAAGAATATGTGTGTCTTACTTGGGAGTTGACACAGAGCTTTGTTTCAGATCTTAATCGTGAAGGAAGATTCCTCTCTAGTGTGAGGAAGGAGGACCTTCTCTCATTTTGTTTATGGTGGTCACAGGGGAAATAATTTGAAAATAACCTTTTCTCAAGTGCCACAGCAACGCATTTACATTTCTCAGACAAGGAAAGAGTTCATGAATGTAAAACTCTTCCAAGCCAATCAAATATATTTAGAAAATAACATCCTGGCACAAGGCGCTTCGGTAGGATTAATGACCAGGCGAGGCACACATTGCCTAGGGCACGACCAGAGGGCCACTAAGCGTGCTGGGGGATCAAGAAACTCCAGACAACTGCCTTGCTCTGAGGCCATAAGTCCAACACTGAAAAAGGAATAAAGCACAGAAATATGATTTCTTTTTCCTCTAGTGGAAAACAGTTATCCTGGGGGGTATTTATGGAGCAATTTTGAGACCATCTTGGATGGATACCAATTTCATCACACCTCCACCTTATTCTTTATTATTGGTGCCGAGGTAACATTAATCAAAGGATGAAAATGTCTTAAACCTAGCTGTGTAGTTTACACTAAAATCTTCAAGTTTAATTGTTCAAGGAACATTGCCTGGTTAAAATAAACACTATAAATCCCTTCTAAGGATATTTCATTTCACGAGCTTCCTCGTTGTTCTTAATAAAAACTACTAAAAAACCTGAAACTTGAAGTCAATTATTTTAATACTTTTGCTCTTCTGAAGAAATAGTAAGAGCAATGTATAGTTGTCTTACCCAACCTCCCAGAATGCTTTCCTTATCTCAAAGAAAATTTGTTACACATGAAAATTCTTCTATAGAACTGTCTTTGAAGAAGTCTTCCACAATATCTGTATTTCCTCTATCCTTGGTAGCAAGTGTGCCTTAATTTAAATCATTCAAGATTTTTTATATGAATTGATGGGTGAAGAGAAAAGACAATGCAGTTCAAGTGGTTGGAGTGTGTCATGGAGAATAGAAAAATTACATAATAGAATAATAAAAAAAATTAAATGTATTGAGTGCCTACTATGTGCAGGCACTACTCTAAGCATTTTACATGCATTAACTCTTTTAACCCTGAGCTCTAATAATCACAATTATTTTAAATGTATTTTTTAAAGTGGACATGAAAAAGTCAACCCAAAGCATTAGGTACAAATGAGACTCTGATTTTCAGTTCTCAAGTGCTCTCATGGCTTGTCCTGGAAGTTTGCAATCACTGACCATCTTAGAGGTGACTGTTTTGATCTGCTATTGTAACCCTGGCTCTGGATGTAGGTCATCCTCTTGCCAGTGGCAATTGGATATAAGATGAACTTAAGGGGCAACACTAAAATGGAAAGACATGAAAGAAAAATCAATGGGAGTAGGTGGGGAAAGTGTTTTTGACAAGATATATGTAAGAGATGTTTACATATGTAATTTCATATGAGAAATTTTAGAAACCAACAGTTTTGGTTCATTAACCATAAGCTGTACCAATGTAATAATAGGTAACAACAACCTAAGGAACATATTAATGAAACAGGAAACTCAAGGAAAGGCTGTGCATTGCTTCACACTAAAGTAAGTTAAAGAAATGAGTCAATCTATGACAAGGAGAATGGAAAAGTTGCAAAGTAAAGAAGAACCAGTTAGGAGGTAAAAAGCACTTGACTGAACATAACAATGAAGAAGGAAGGTGGGAAGATGGGTGGGTAGAATGGGTGGAAAATGAGGAAATGGTGTTGGAAAAGACTAGAGGAAGAGTGAAAGAATTGACAAAAGTTAGTAATGACAGAAATAGCAAACAAAGACAATTTTCTAGCTGTGAGGCAGTCTTTTAGTATGAAAACATACAATATGGAGATTCATAAGCATGATAGCCATAAACTATTATTTAGGTCCTCTGAAAGAAAACTGAAAAGCAGTTTTAGAGGTTCCTCAATTAGCTGGACCTAAAGAAAAACTTCCATGACTTGTATAAAAGTATGCCATTCACAGGCATAAAAAATGAAAACTACCTTGAAATAAGCTATACTTTTTCCTCCAGAAAAATCTCAGATGCAACATGACAGCTGACAAGTTAGTTTACAGAAAACACAGAGCATTGTGGTCCAGCTAGTTGAATGAACAAGGTACACAAGCATCACATGAGGTGCCATGGATGGAGAGCAAGCTAGTTTTAGGTCCAGTCTACTGATTTCCTAAGTGGCTCTGGTAAATCACTTTTGTCACTGGGTCCCACAGGCAGGTGGTGGGAATGCCTGAACGTGCTTTCTTGACTACCTCCCAGGGGTACTGTGAGAATTAGTGTTGATATCAGCTCATCGGAAACCAGAGATGAAAGGCATCATAAAACCAAGTATTATTATTTGTAAAGAGGGCTAATGGATAGGAAGAGGCCCGCACAGGCAAAGTGTTTTTTAAAGGGAACTTTGGGAAGAGGCTGTGTAATTTCTTAAGTGCCAACGACGAGGGCTAGTAGACTGGTTACATCGATACACCAGCTGTGCCCAAAGATAGCTGGGAATATCTAAATGAAATCACCATGTGATGTTGCCCAAAGCCTAATATGTATCTTCCAGTTAGAAACATTAAATTAATTGGCTCATTCAGGCATGTTTTGCATTTCAAAAAAGTAAAGGGGTTATAATTAATTATAATAATCAGTACTTGGTGCATTTTACATGCTGTATTTTCGAAGTAAATAACACTCTAATTAGCCTTCTCCACAAGTCTTAAGAGTTTTGGAAGGGCACTCTTCCGAGATGACATATAAAAGACTGGCACAGGGAACCTACAGCCACATTAGGAAACTGTATGCTTAAATCGGCTTGTGCTTCGATTTTATCCCCAAGGCCACCTATTAGTATATTAAATTATTTCTGCCTCTGATCATCTGCTTAGATGCAAGGGCAGAAAGAAAGCTGGGAAAGGGACAGGTCTTTCTGGGAATGCTCTGAACAGACAGAAGGATCTGAAGCCTCTCATCACGGGGAGGGGATCTTTTGTCTGCCTGGCATCTGGTGTCCAGATAAGATGCTATAATAGATGCGAAGAGGAAACAATGCAAGGGCATGAAACCAACACCAACGGACACACTTCCAAAGCTGTTCCACCCGGTGGAGAGAGAAGCACACACTGGGAAAAACGCAGATGTGATCAGATGGAGGCTCAGCTATGCCTCACAGGGAGGACTTTCCGGCCCCGGGGAAGGTGCACCTTGACAGTTTTACCTGAGTCTCCAGACAAGGCAGCTGTGCTTTTACTCCTGGCCAGGAACGAGTGCGTGGGCGTCAGCAGTCTGTTAACAACGCTGCTCTCCCAGGGGCTGAGCTGCAGGCGGCGAGCTAGACGTCACCACATAAGCAAGATGTTAGAAGCTTTCCTTTCAGGGGCAAGGGGGTGCAGAGCATCACACCTATCGCTCCCACATGCCGGCCTTCGAGAGATACAGGCTCTCTGGCGAGGACAGTGGGTGAAGAGTCAGGGCAACAGGAGCCCTACCCAAAGGAGCCGTTATTCTAGAGCATTGCCTTTCTTCAAAGGTTCCTTTGGTGGCAGGCTCTCTTAGTTTTATGGAGGCAGTTTTTGCTAACCACCCTCCTAGAGCAGTCAACAGATAACACAACAGAAATGTTATTTCCATGGCAGGCTTGGCATGTATCACCGACTCCAGTCATACCTATCTGCCGTCTGCCCTTATCGGGATGGGCAGTGGACTGCTGGCACACCTTAGCCACAGGGCTTCCTAAGTACCCTGAATAATCAACTCCACCAGCGGCCATGCCAGCTTAATGCAAGACCGGATTTATAAGTAAATAAAGATAGAAAGGTCTCCATTACATTTTGATAGATCTCCATGAATTGTTACATGGGTAAATGGGGGGTAATTAAAGATAATAAAACGGAAAAGGGCTCATGCACAGTTCTGTATAGAATTCCCTTTTGTCTTTTCCATTCAGCAAGTCAAATTCTTTCAGCTCCCTGTTTGACAGCAATAAAAAATTTTGGGGGAGCATAAGGGTCAAGTTGAAGCAAGATAAAATTAAACAGAAAAGCCAAAATCCAATATAAACATAAATGGGAGATTATTAGTTGTTGTGAAGAATCTGGAAGGTAAATTTAAAATAATGTAATGAAGTATAGTCCCAAATTATATTGAGGCTTGGCAAGCCCACTGCTAGGAAATGCATGCCAATCATAAATGAATACTTTGCTTATGTTAGCTTCCATTGATGGCCCATGAAAATACAGAGGCTACTTTCTAAAATTCCAGGAAAGAAGTCTACAAAAATCACTCGAGTGATAATATATCTTTATTTTAGAACATATTTCCAGTGACTTATAAAAGACTTTAAAACTGTCTGAACCTGGCAAGGCCATTCTGTTCCTCACGGCAAACAGCAGGTACAAGTTCCTTTGCCTCTGGATCAGTTGTTCTTATAACAATCTTTTATATGACATGTTTGAAATGAATGGCATTTATATTCTAGGAAAGTGGTTTTAGTTATTAGAAGCCATCCAGTGTTACATGTGTTATAGAAAATATTTGCTTCTATCTCGAAAAGATACCAACTTTCAATAAGAACCTTAATTATCTGATTTAAAAAAAGAGAGACTTTTGATGAAGGCTCTGGTGAGTTTAATAAACAGTGAATTGTTTATTAGATTTTTCTGGTTATTCGGAGAGCCTTCAATTAAATCTTATCTAACAGCAAGACATTAACAAAAAGATCTATTACAAAAACCAATGTAATAGGTACAGAGGTAGTATAATGTACACTGAGAAATATGTTAATTACAAATTGCAGTATAGGTAGTGTATGTGTGTGTTGTGTATCAACAACAAAAATCTTGTAATCTAGAATTATAATACATCCACAGAAGATCAATGGGGAAAAATGGTTAGGATTAAATGAAAATCTTCAATAGAACTCTATTTTTAGTAGATGAGAAAGGGAAGAAGAGATGGATGCTTCCTTTTTTTTAGATAAAACAGAACTGCAGAGATGGTTTATCATTGAAAAGACATATCCCCTTGCCTTATCCCTTCATTAAGTTCAATTACTTTATTCAGGACTCTTACCCCAACTAGAGTAGATAAGTTATCCAACAAATTCCCTGAAGTTTTAAGATCCCTTTTCTTAAGAATATCCAATCAGATATTATCACGAAGAATCTATAAAACATCTTCTTTCTAGTCAACTCAGCATTGTCCTTCATAGGAAGTGTGGACAGGATGTTGTCTGGCTTATTGCCCATCTCCCACTCTCAACCTTCCCCTAACTTAGCTGTGTACTGTAGAAGCAGTATGCAAGGTTTAACTTAAAAGTAGTGTAAAATCCCAACTGTAGCTTGTCTGATATCCAGGTTCCCCAAAAGTATGAAATTAGAATAAGTGACTAGCTCCAAAGGAAAAAAGAATAGACAACTGTAAGAATAGCATTTACATGCTATATTTTAGGTTATATTAGGGGAATGAGTTTGAAAAGAAAGGCTATTTATGAAAGGAATTTTAATTCATAATACTTTATAAAAGGCCTCTAATTTGACTACATGTCTAATATTGATTTAGGCAAATTAGGTTAAAGAGAAAAAAAGGAATGATTTAAGTTAAAAGGCAAGGACAGAAAGTTGTTCAAACATTTACTGTATTAGGAGATTAGTTATAAAACAACATCAGCACATATAATATTGTACATTATGACACCATAAGTTTTATACAATATAAAATACACAAATACACATACGCACATACAGAACATGCACACATTACATTCTTTTTCAAGACTACTAGTATAAACACTGAAACTTTCCCCATCAGTTTCTTATTAAAACACTTAAAGTAACCACAACTTGTTACTTTCAAAGGGCATTATTTTTATATTGCACAATAATATTTTTGTTTTTTAATTTAAAATCATTTAAATTATTAAAACAAGTAGCTTATCTTAAAAGCTTAAGTTTTTCCTACCATGATATATAAAAATATGTAAAATAAAACTTTCACTTAATAAATAACATTCATGTACTGTAAATCCATTAAGATGAATAAAACTCAAAATTAAAGTAAAATGTTAATTGGAGGATTATGATCATTAAAATTTTTAGGAGGCTTCACTGATGATATTCTTGAAGTTAGGCCAAATCCCGTAAGAGTAAATGAATGGAAACCAAAAAAACCAGTCACACAAACACAAGAAATGCGGCAAGAAAGGTTTGGTTAAATGAGAAGTTAGCAAAATGAAATCTACTAACATGAATCAATTACGAAAGTAATTTTTCTTTTTTAAAGAAAATCAAAGACTTGGAATTCCCAAAGTACAGATGAAAAGTCAAAGACAGTGTGATTGAAGTAAAATAAATGTTCATAACAAAGATTATTTGCATGTTAGTGGATAAGTGGGTGATTTCTGGAGCTGTAAACTCAGTTACTAAAGAGTCGAGAGAAGCACCGCTTTCATCACTGCTAAATGCAATCATTCAGCCAAGTTCTAAAATGAGAAACGTTCTTGTCGCAAGGAAAATGTTGCTCAGCCGTTTATTGCTTTTTTATTCTGAAGTTTTTTTCTTCCTATTTAAGAAACGTAGGGAAAGCAACTTCAGATGCTTATTTTTAATCTGTAAACATCCAGAAAAAAAAGCATTAAGTAAATAACAGAACACTTTTGTTGTTTTCCTTTGGACTGTACCTCTATCTGGAGAATTTAGTAAAGTTGCAGATGAAGAGGAGAGCCGCTTGCTAATGACGGGATCAACATGTTTCGAAAGATTCATGGTGGAAACTGAACGCCTGTCTGGATCTAAAACAAATGGAAATAATGCTAATTGACAGCCAGCATGCAGCATTGCAATTTCCTAGTTCGCTGATGGAAGGAAAAACTAGGACTGGATGCTTTCAGCTCTATCCCTAGATCTTTCGTGATAGCACAGTTTTCCAAGTGGACATTTGAAAGGTGACTTAAAGGGTAGAAATAAAATCCATTTTTCTTATGGGATAAAATAAATATTCAGCTCATCAGTTTGTCGGCCAGGGAAATTCAAGCATAATGTTATAATATGACGAATGAAGGCCAGGGGAGGGCAACTGAAACAATGGAGGCAGACTGTGAAGCAAAGAGAGGGCCATACATGTGGCAGCCTTTATCATTTCCCAAAACAGTGCTGGTAAAACAGAGAGTAAATAGGAGGAGACAAAGAACACCAGGTTCTGTGCATCTGCTGATAGCTTGGCTCGAAGGGTCATTTGCACCCAGGGCATGAAAGTTCATTATAGGAAAATAGATTAATAAGAAAAAGAGGAAGCGCTATAGCATTTCTTTCTAAAATGTCTACTAATAACCATATCTCTAAGCTTAGAACGTAGAGTTTAGTATGGTTTACAAAGGTAGAAACAGCCCACAAAACGGATAGTCATAGAAAGAAAATCAGAATTCCTTCCTTTATGTATATTAACAATATTGTTCGTCCTGCAGTCGAGTAATTTTGGAGGAATTCTTAAAGTTCAAGTCAGAAGAGAAATAGCAGTCATTTAAAAGGCAAAAATCAAGTCTATCAGTTTGCTGTCTGTACAGTGGAACCAAGTTGTAACAATACTCGGTAGCATAAATCATATTCCCTGAAAAAAAAATTGTACATATTAAAAGTCTAAAAATCTCATCATATTTATTTAGGAAGCAGGTAGATGTTCTATAATAGCTAAAGGTAATGGAGTTTTGCCATATTTTGTTTTATTTTTCTATTGTTCACATCTTCTAAAACCAAAAACAAACCAAAATATTCTTTTTGGGAGAAAGTCATTCAAAACCTAGTTGATATTGGCCTAACTAACCTTGGCAGTACAAATTTTACAGTAACCATTCCCCCACAGAATAACCATTTTTGGCCATTATTTACAATATATAGGGAGCAAGCGAGTCTTCCACCAGCATCAAACATTTCTATCTCCTATTGGGGCTCATTTTATGACTGAAGCATTTAGTTATTTAAAAAAATCCAAGTATCATTTCTGTAACTCAAATTTATTTATTCTTAACTGATGGGCCCTTACAGTGTTCCTAACATAAAGATTCAGGATAAAATGTCAAAAGGTACACCTGAATTATGAGGTTCAAATGCACAGGAAAGGATAATGAAAGATAATTCCAGGTTATAATTAGAGCAATCCATTTTCTGATATTGCTTTATATGTTAAGCTCTAATTAGAGGAAAATTGTGTCTACATGCAGGCCTATCCTGCACAGTTAAAATTATGGGGATTTAATATATATTTACTGATTACTTTATATATAGTAAGATAATTTTTAATCATTTCTTTTTCTCATTGAACCAAACACAAATTCATGAAAGGATTTTTTACGAACTGGCTTAAACAGTATAAAGTTTATAAGCCAGGGCTAGTTGATGTGGGAGCAGTCAGACAACACACTGATTTAATCTGATTAAATTTAATTTCTAAGACCTGTTTGATGGCCAGTGAACACTGAATGAGTACCACCAGGACCCAGGCATTGCTGTGCAGTAAGGGGTATTCAAAATGAGGAAGTTCTGCTCCATGCTCTCGAGGCCACAGCAGATCATTCTGACCTTTGAGAATTTTGGTGTATTCCTATTATTTCCAACCTTCTCTTGTCTATGTAGCAGCAATTTTCTCTCATCCACAACCCTTATAAAAATGAATTTTATTCAACAGTTTACATTCTCTTTCTCTGAGTGACAGTACTAATGGTCATTTATTGAACTCTGAATGGGAAAGCAAGAATTAAAGCTAGGAAGCTTTATTTCCCTTAAAAGAAAATTTGTAACAGAGTATACTTCTGCCTACATATGAAGAACAGTAAAAGAAAAAATTAATATGTACCCTGCCAGCTTTCTACATGGAACATATGTGTAAAACTATATCCTTAGAGTGAAACATCATCTGTAAATGATCCTAATAATCATAGACTTGATTGGTGCCCCACTAAATAAGAGCCAAGAAAAATGCTTTCAATTTTGATTCACTCTGATAGAAAAGTAAATTGTGGTAATATGATTTTAGACTTTTTTTTTTGTTAACATGAAGGGGTTATAGAAAACACACTAAATGTTAGAAATGAAAGAGAATAGAGCAAACAAACAAAAATCCTCTAACCTTTAGATTACAACTACAGGTGGTTACACAAGGATGGAATGGGAGTGGGGAGGGAAAACCAAACTGGATGTGCTTTGATTCCAGTTAATTTATTGGCTTAAAAAAAAAACATTTTTTAAAAGTCTTATCTTAAAATGATCATTTAAGGAGAAAGTAAACAAATCCCATGTAATTATTTCAACAGCTTCAAGTCACCTGAGTTATATTATCACACTTAAGAAACACTGTGCTATATCCCAGATCTAGGTCTATGCAATAGGATATTAAGCAAGCATTATGACTAAGGTGGTGATGGTCCAGCTATTGATGAACTCTGGCCCTAGGTTTGAGGTGCTAGCTACAGGTCAGGCAATCAGCAATCATAGGGAGGTCTGTACCAGACTTTCTAGCACCACCCAAAGTTGTAGAGTGGTGGTCCAGGCCTGCTAAATTGAGAAAGGTGAATGATGATTCAACAAAACCACCTGAGGACAGAATGCAAGACAATGACTTTTCGAAGTAAATAAAAAAAAGAGGCTATCAGACTCACACAAATGAAAAAGAACTGACACACTATATAAAATTCAAGGTGGACTGAATTTACAGTACAAAAATAAGGCCTTTCACTAATTCCAAATTTCAGTATTCTCATGTCTATTTAAGAACAAGGGAAAAGCTAAGACATCTACTATTTGTAGCCTCAAAACCTGCACTTTCTCTTTCAAAGCCAGTGTTGCATACATTGAGGGTCAGAATACATAAGCTCATAGTATTGATTTTAATGAGTCAATAGGCCTATGATTCTTCTAGTGTAAATGGTAAAACTGGCGAACCAATTTCATAATCCTGAAACTCTACTTAAATTAATTAGACTAATGTAGAGTTGAAACTAGCATGTTTATTTAGAAGCATTGCATAGATTTCTCTCTCCTCAAGGACTTTTTTAACAAATGAGAAAAGCAGTCTATGTTAAGGGGGGGGAATCTTATCTTCTTACCTCCATCACCCTCTTATCCTCAAACAGTAGAAGCATCATTTAATTGTAATGTCATTGTTTCAGCAGGATTTTGATTTTGCAAGCACAGACTTAGGAAAAAGAAGCTACTGCACTTTTACTGTTCAGGAGAAACATAAAAGGGCTGTGAAAGTGGTCACCGCCCGTTTACCTGTACTGTGAATGCTGGGGCTCGCATGGAGAGGGCCTCCCCATGACCATCGGTTATGCTTCTGTCTTGGCTTCTGGCTCCTTTCCATCGTACGTCGTACAACGGCTTCATGGCGCTCCTTAAATGGAATAGAGCAGCTGATGATTAGGTTCAACCTTGCTGTTGGAGGTTTCTTTAAAAATTTTTTTTAAATTGATTTTGAGAGAAAAAGAGAATGAAAGAGAGAAACATTGATCTATTGCTCCACCTACTGATGCATTCATTGGTTGCTTCTTATATGTGCCCTGACCTGAGATCAAACCCGAAACCTTGATGTATTGGGAAAATGCTCCAACCAACTAAGCTACTCAGCCAGAGCAAGGCTTCTTTAACTTAAGACAGAGTGGAGTGAGAGAGAGTACTTGACTTCGGTACTTCTAATCTATTTCCTAACCTTAAAAAAAAAATATGTTTCTATTGATCCTTAAAAAAAATGTTTTTGTTGATTTGAAAGAGAGAGAGAAAGAGAAAGGGAAAGAGAAGAAAGAGGAAAGAGGGAAGAGGAGAGAGAGAGAGAAAGAGAGAGAGAGAGAGAAAGAGAGAGAGAGAGAGAGAGAGAGAGAGAGAGAGAGAGAGAAAGAGAGAGAGAGAGAGAGAGAGAGAGAGAGAGAGAGAGAGAGAGAGAGAAATATTGATTGGTTGCCTCCTGCATACACCTGATCAGGGATTGAACCAGAAACCTGAGTATATGCCCTGGACAGGGAGCCAACTGGTAACCTTTAGATGCATGGGGATGACATTCAACCAATTGAGCCACACTGGTCAGGGTTACACCTTATCTTAATATTAACAACTTGGGACAGTTATTGAAATCATGTGGAGCCAGTTGAAAAAGCCCGCTGTATACAGTAGGTACCTAACAAATGGTCTTTATTATTGCTACTAGGAATGTGATGCTTTCATGGTACTGCAGGTCTTACCTTACACAGATATTAAACACATGTGATACCATACCTAAACAATGGAATTTAGTCTGACTCCACAATTTACTGAGTTGTATAACTTTGTTGTTTTACCCATTCTAATTCTGTATTTCCATTTTTGCCAAGATTCAAGGGATAAATGAGACAATCTAGCATGTGAAAAAGTTTGTCGATGGTAAAGCCCTAGAGAAATCCAATGGCTTGGCCTGACCGAATTGGCTTAGTGAATAGAATGTTGGCATGCGGACTGAAGGGTCTTGGGTTTGATTTCAGTCAAGGGCACATACTTGATTGCCTGAAGGGTTGAAGGCTTGATCCCTGGCACCAGTTAGTGTGCATGTGGGAGGCAACCAATTGATGTGCCTCTCTCACAATGATGTTTCTCTCTGTCTCTTCTCCTCCCTTCCACGCTCTCTGAAAATCAATGGAGAAAATATCCTCGGGTGAGAATTAACAACAACAAAAAACTCCACAAACAAACAAAAAAAAGAAATCCAATGACTTGGAGTGGTCTTGATATTTCAGTATAGATTAACTGAACATAAATAAGTTATAAGTCTAGAGCAGAGAAAATGGGCTTTTAAAGTTTCTGTGGAAATAGGAACAAGCACACCATTCTCTACAAGACTTCCATACCCCAACCTCCTTCCACACTGTGTCTGTCTGTCCAGCTGCTTACCCTGAGACAATTTTGCCGCGGGTCTCAGCACCTTAATGGGAGGTTTCATAGCGAGTCTGCTGCATTTCTGCCATAGATACGCCTCCCACCCATTTCCCAGGGCGGCACCTTACTTTGTCCTCCTCTAGTCTCTGCCTTCGCTTTTCCTCCACAGCAGCCCTCCTCCGCTCTTCCTTCAGCCTCTGCTCTTCCAACTTTTTCTTCCTCTCTTCCAGGTGCTTTTCGTAGTGCTGCCTGGCTCGCTCTTCTTTTTCTAACCAGAATAGTTCTCTTGCAGCTGGGAAGAAAGACAGGCGAATCAAACACAGGCAGATAGATTAAAAACTTGAACAGTTAGGGCTGTGTAAGTGGCATGCACTTAACACATATGGGTTCCTTGGTTTTGTAGTAACCAAGCTGGCCTGTGCTTTCTTCAGATTTTCAGGAAAAAAGTACTGTGGTTAATTTTTAGCATTATTTCATATGCTAACAACGAGGTTGAAGAAGATGAATGGAATTCTGCTCTTTGGGGATCCCTACAGTCTTCTAGTTTGATATACAAGATGTCCCTAAAAATGTATACCTACTTTGAATAATTATCAATTCCCAAGTTAAACCTGAAAAGAAGGAAATATCAATTGAGCTATCAGCTGTCAAAGTATATACATTTTTTAGGAACAACCTGTATTATTACAATAGAATAATATATATATCACATGCTCTGCTCTCAATTCCTGATAGTGATAAGATGCCCTAAAAACCAATAGTACTATCCATCTCTCTTTTTTTAAAAAATGAGATATTCTTCAGATTGAAAATGTTTCAATTTTCAATTTGTTTCAATACAGCACTGGTTCTCTGACAGAATTATAAGGACTTGGGAGAAAATCCCAAAGATTCATAGTTAATAAAAGGTATATTAAATGCTTCAGAGACATATCACACTGAGTCAGATAAGCAATGTGAGGGGCCAAATCAGCAACTGATCTTGTGTCTGAAGAGCTCATAACCTAGTTAGATAAGAAAACATCATGAAATGAATAGAAACACAGAATTGAAAAAATAGTGTTCAGTGACAAAATGCTTCTTTTCTTCCTTACATATATATGAGTTACTAACATTGTAGACAAAAGTATCCAAACAAAATTTAAAGCATAAATCCTGAAACCTGTGGATATGCAATATAATACATCTATTTTTTAACACTCAGCTTGCCAACTATATAGTCTTTGACTTTTATATTCTGTTTTGAGGCAAATCTCAGATTCTTTGGGGAAATTTATGAATGTAATATATTCCTTTTCTGTAAGAAATCCAAAAGCCAACAAGATAAAATAAGAGATAAACATTTTATGAAATATTAAATATCTTTAAAAAATGGTACAGTAAAATAAGGGTTAATCAATTCACAGATTAATTTTCCTTAAATGTTTTTCATCAGACTATTTTCTTGCTCATGAATATTTATTTTACCATTTCCTCCTTAAATTTCAAGTCCCTGATTTCTCAAGTCCTACCTACACTTGGCCTTCATAATGTTATTTGGCCTTACTCTGCAATGCTCTCCATAGTAGCCTTTTCATTCTTAAAGTAGACCTATCTTTTTACTTCACTTTTCAAACAAACCATGTTTCTCCCATATCTTTGTTGCTGCTGTTACTTAACCTTTCTATGCCTCACTACTATTAGGATAAATTGTGCATCAATGTTGGCCTCATGGATTTACTATGAGGACTAACATGATAATTTCACTTAACACAGAGTAGTTCTCTGCACTAGTAAATTTTCAAGAAATACTAGTTATGACTGTCATCTTTGTCATCATCACCATCATAGTTTCAACCCAGAAAATTAAATTTGCTTCTTAAGATTGTGTTATCTCAATAGGAATAGACATTACTACAATTATAATGACTTTTACTCCAAATAATCTTTTTAAAGGAAGAACATATCTTTATCCATAACTCTTATCAAGTGCCACTTCCATTTTTTTCTACCAGGAAGTCAAGATCCTATTGCAGAGCCTTCTTTAAACAAATGTCTTTTTTAAAACAGTCATACAGAGAATAGGCAAACAATGGTGAAATAAGCAAACAACACTTTCTTATTATTGCAGAGATGCTGGTGAGTGCTAGAATTATTACCAAGTATAGATCATGCAACTTTTTAAAATTGAAGGATAATATATAAAATATTTCAATATTTTAATAAGAATTTAAAAGTTAATTTGTCCTAAGAGGTTTTGCTATTTAAAATATCTCCTAAGGATGCCAGATAATGTGAAAGTCTTAAATAATTAAAAAATGATATTTTTGAACACAAGGGAAAAAAAATCAACAACTGCTGTGGACTGAAGTGTGCTCAGCCTCACTCTCCCCATTCATATGTTGAAACCCTAACTATATATATAAAAAGAAAACCCACTGTAGCCCCTGAAATACTGGACATTAACACGCCAGTCCCACCCTTGAGCTGCTGCCACCAGGATTACATTTTAATGATACATGACAGTGTGTCAGTGCCACACAAAGGGGAGCTCCACTATCAATCTGGACTCCATTTGGAAACACACAGCAACTCTGGTACTAAGAAGAATAAAAAATGAAAAGCAGGGCATTGCAGTAGATAGAGCACAGGCACCTGAGTCCACCCTCCCGCCCCCCTTCCCGTCCTGCTTCTGAACAAGAAGTGACTTCTGTGGTCCTGCCTGTCCCCTCAGATTGCTATGGTGCCATCTTCCTGACATTGACCAGGTGGGTCCATGGTAACATACAGAGCACTTAGCACAGTGAGTAGGGACTCAATTCATGGAGGTAATTATAGTGAGTGAATCTTTTTGACGGTCATATTAATTCCTGTCCTATTGCTAGAGAGAAAATTCAGCCAATGGGAAGAGAACACAGGTGGGACAGAGAACTCAAATGGCGCCTTCTGCACTCATGGGCTGGTGGACTCCCCATTCAGTCACATTCAACAATCCACTGCCCAGTCTGGTCCTTCTGCACAGGCTTACCTTTGTGTAGGTGGAGTACAAATTTCACTATCAAATGAAGGAAAGAAAACCATGACACTCAAAGAACAGAGTAATATTATCACTTGATCTCTGACACACATAAAGCTGCTGTCCTAGTTTCATACTGAGATATACAAAGATATAAATAGGTTACGGGTAACACTGGGTACCAGAATAGCCAGTAATATCCTGAAGAGCCAGAAAATGATAATATCTGAGTTCAGGCACAGATTCTGTCAATGATCCTGTGTGGCCTTGGGGAAATTGCCTAACCTATCTGACTCTAAATTAGAGAGTGTGTACAAAGAGATCTCCACGCTCTTTTCAATTAACTCCCATGACTCAACTTTTTGTTTTTACCTTTGAGGACACGTGTGGGATGATAATGAGGTTTCTTTTTTACTTGCTTTTTTATGTTAAAATTTTAAATCTTTGTTCTGCATGTTAATAATGACTGATTACATTCAAGTAAATTTCATCTTAATGTTGCTTTGGAAACACTGACTATATTATAAATAATAACTCTAAGGGGAAAAAAAGGGAATCTAATGGCTAAACCTACATCATTAACCTTAAGGAGGGGGCTGTGGAATGGAAAAATAAGAGCATCTGTGCAAGAAATACTAATTAATTTCATTTAATAGTCAAGAAATGAGAATGAAAGGTAATCACCAATAGTATAGAAAATTACAGCACCCCTTTCACATTAATAAGGGGAATTATGGAAATTCAATGCTTGTATCAAACCAAACCCTAACACTAAAGCTACCCCTCCAATAAAAAAGGAAAAAAAAAATAAAGTTAAAAAAATAGCTAAAAGGAATAAAATCAAGCCCATTACTTACGACTGAAATTTTTAGACCAGGCCAAAACAAAAACATGAAATGATTTGTTGCTGTTGTTGTTTTTTAAACTTACAACAAAGTGTCAAATAAAGCCTAAAAATAATGAGCAAATAGCATAAAAACAATGAAATAAATGTAGAATAGTATTACCAGACAAAATGGAACTGAAGATCAAATGAGGGGGGGAAAAACCTGAAAGGAGTTAAAAGCTCTCCCAAGATCACATAATCTAAAAGAATTGCAATTTTACTTCAGCTCTGATTCCAAAACCTGCACTCTCAGGTACCACACAATACTTCCTCCAGAGTCACACATCTGCCTGCCTAAAATTTCCACGTGAATTTCCCAGATCCATCACAAAGCAGTACTATCTGCATATTCATCCCACCTCAAACCAGAACCTGCTCTTTTCTATATTGATAACAAATTCACTTAACCTCCACATGCTCTACAAAAGGTCCTCCTCAATTTCTTCCTCATAAAATCAATTATATTTCAACAAAGCAGTTTTTTAAACAAAAATTTTCCTTCATGGATGCTTCAACCTAACTCAACACATCTAAACAAATGACCATATCATTTTACACCAGAACTATCTCTAAAATTTTGTATCTTCTCTCAATCTTCTCCTCTGGAGGCTAATGGGACTGAGGTGCTGGGACTCAGGAGTATGGGCTGAAGGACTTGGAGATAAGAGAACCAAACAGTGTCAAACCTTCTTATCTTCAGGGGTATCATCATCATAGTGAGATGTCTTCTCCTTTTACTTTGTTCTGACACCCACATGATTTACAAGTATTATCTTCACAGTCACTTAGTGAGGTAGACACTGCTATTAAACATTTTATTATGAGAAGTCTGGGACACAGAGAGGTGAAGTAATCTGCCTGACATCTCACAATAAGCCAGTGGTGGAACTGGAATTCAAACTCTGGACTGTCTGACACAATGAACCATTATTCTAAAAGACATAATTTGGAACACCTCCCTGTGACTAAAGCTCCTCCTCTAAATTGGGACAAGTTGGTCATCCATTGGGAAGATCCCGATCTCCTAATGTCACTCTTAGTCTTTATCATCATCTGTTTATAAGACCCTTTACTTTTCAGATTTTAGATCTTTCAGCCTTCAAGACAAAGTAAATTTGAAAGAAACAAATAATGCCTGTATAGTCATGATGATTCATTTTATGTTAAAGCTTCAGCCTCTGATTTACCTAACTCATCCCACAACAAGCGCTTATTCTTTTCAGCTCTGAGCCTGACTCATGATATAGCTTCTTTGGTATGTGCTGATGTCCACATCCCTCCCACTGCCATGTATTCAGATCCTTTAGATGCTCATAACCTGCCTGACAGCCTTAGGTGCGTCTGTGCCATACATTCATTAAGTGATAACTTCAGGAGACCAGATGGCAAGATTGACCATAGATCTGCCCAA